ACCCACCTCCCCACCAATTTGGATCGCTTGTTGTTCCCTTGTCCCTGGGTTTGTTATCCTCAAGTATTTTACGATGTTGCTAATTCTATTATCTCATTGTTCATCTTCTGGGCTTCCTTCTAATTTAAGGAATTTACTTTTCAGTTTCTTCTGCTGTTCTCTCGAGTGTTCCCCACAGATCTTGAAAGGGCAGAGACATCATTCTTCTGAATTCTGAGCCTGGTAGTTGCAGGGCCGCTTCTCAGTCTACCATGTTGGGTTTGAGTGATTTTCAGCTGTGTCTGTTGTTCTTCATTTGGGGGTTTACTGTGGTTGACTGTTGTTTCCTCATTATCATGCAGCTCTTAGTGCTGTGCGAGCTGATGCGTTGTGTGGAGGTAGTTGTTTCTGTCTAGAGACATGGGAGAGGGAAATGGAGAAAAGGTCAGAAAAAAAGGTAAGAGACATGGAGAAAGTGGAGAAGAGCAAGTGAACGTAATGATAGTCATAATAAGTGGCTGTCTGGATAGGCCACAAATTTGTAAAATTATTGGCAAAATATATATTTAAGTGAAGTAATTAGAATTCATACGTTTCATGAAAATATGAGGAAAATTGAGGAAGCAGAAAGAGATAGTGAGTGGATGTTCAGGGAGATGAGGGAAAGGGGGCCAAAGACTCCCGTGTAGCTTGGTGTGGGTGCTGATGCTCTGTTGCTATAGCAGTATGAATGTGGGTCTGCCAGTGCCATGGGAGTGAGGGAGCCCTTGTTTGGGTGGATGTGGCGGGATCCACAGGCCTGCAGGTTTTCCCAGGTTGGATGTGTATTTTCATGAGGATAGGGTGGCAGCAGAAGCGGTCGCCAGAAGAGGAAGTAGAAGAGAACTAGAAAAAAATGATAAAAGTATTAAAACCAAAGAAAAATGTTTTAAAACTAGGTAGGTAGGGGCTCCTGCTCCTTTGGTAGTTGTGTGTGTGTGTGTGTGGGTGTGTGTGTGTGTGTGTGCGCGCACACGCGCGCACTCCATAGGGGGTATGGGCACACGGGTTGGGGAGGGTACCAGAGAATGAAGCAGGAAAGGAGGAAGGAAAGATAAATGGGAAAGTGAACCAGGGCTACTGTATCAAGCTGCCCATACAGTTTGCTATCCACTGGAGTCCTCAGAGGCCCTTGAGCTCAGGGGTTCGGCTGGCTAGGTTGTCTCAAGGGCTGAGAAAACCAGTGCCTGGGAGGAGTAGCGGCAGCCTCACGGAAGCAGCTGGTCCCTCTGGGCCGTGTTAAAGGGGAGTCTGTGAGCAGGTGCTGCTGCTCTCCTGCTTTAAGAAACGTGGGTCCACTTAGCTTTTGAGTTGAGTTTCTAGCAGCGAGTCAGCGCAGGCTACCCCTCCTAGTGGAGCTTCTCCAGTACGTGCGGAGGGCTTCTCGTGCTTGTTGTCTGGCAGCCATATTCTCCTGCCTCTGCTCTTTGTTTTTTGAGGTACAGTGTTTCGATTATTTTTGTGCCCACGACTTTTTTGCCCTAAAAAATCCTTGCCTCCTTCAAGACCATGAAGTCATTCTCCTTTAATTTTTCTAGATGCATGGTAGCTATTGGTGTCACATTCAGATCTGTGAACAGTTTCACATTCTGTGTGTGATGTGAGGGACATGTCCAGTTCGACTGGTTGGTTGCTTGGTTGGTTGGTGTGGTTTTGTTGTTGGTTTTGGTGTTTTCTATATCCATATCTAGGAAGATAGATGAGGCTTTCCCATTGATTTTTTATTTTATTTTTTAAAGCCTTAGAAATGCTACCGTGAGTGTGAATTGACTCGGGAGCAGTGCATTTTATATGCATATCTGTTTGCTCCAGTGCCTGCCTTTCCATAATGAATTACATTCCACATTCATTGAAAAATCAAATATATGTGTAGGTCTATTTCTGAACTTACTGTTTTGTTCCATTGAGCCATTCTTTTATCCCGATAGCAATGGCATACTCTCTTAATTGCTATATCTTTCTATTAAGTTTAATGTCTGGTGCTTGTTAATTAGTGTTCCCCTATACATCTTAAAACATCCTATCGGTTTCTACAAAATAGCTTGATGGAATTTTAATTGAGGTTGTGTTTAATTTGTTGAGAAATTGGGTGAAATTTGATATATTAACAAGACTACATGTTCTTTGAATATGCTGTCTCCTTTTATTTACATCTTTTTAATTTTCTCAGCAATTTTTTTGTAGTTTTCAGTGCAAAGTGGTATACATCTGTCATTAAATTTATCCTTAGGTAGGTGATGTTTTAAATGCTAATGTAAATTTCAATTTCCAATGTTGTAGTGTTAGTACAGAAATAGGATTTTTTGGTGCCTCACATCTGCAATCTTGCAAAACGTGCTTATTAGTTCTAGAAAGTAGTTTTTCTTTTCTATTGAATTATCTACATAGACCACCTTGTCATTTGCAAATAAGGAAGCTTTGTGCCTTTCCTTTCCAAATCGTACCTTTTGTTCCTTCACTGGCCTTGCCTGTTTTTTCCAGTGCAATGTCGATTAAAAAATGGGAAGAAGCTTTGGGAGTCAAGGGGTGGCAAGGCATTAGCCGTGGTCTCATGCTGGGTTTCGGTGCCAAGGCCTCGCTACTCTCATAGGCCAACAGTGGTCCTCGCCATCTTCTTGCACCATGAGGAGCTTCTTTGCACTCAACCCTGCCACTCAGGCCCCAGACTCCCTCAGCCTGCACCGAGACACTCATTGACTGCTGCCTGCTCCCGAGGGGCTCAGCACTTTCCTTAATCTCACTGTTCAAACAGGTCTTTTATGCCAACCCTCCCTGTACCTCAAGGCCCAAGCGCCACTGACTCCAGTGGCCAGCTTTCATGGAAAGTAGGGCTGCTGTTTTGCCCTATTCCACCTGCCATTCCAGTGTGAGCCATACAAGGGTGCCAATCCCACATCAGGTTTCAGAGCCCACCCTCCCAAAGCTGGCAGCCCTGCCTGGGACCAGAGGCCACTCAGGGCAACCAGCTGACGATAGCCATGTGTAACTCTCGTATTCTTGTCCCCCTGCCTTGTAGGTGAGCCTACCAAAAGCAGAAGTGAAGAGGCCCTGCCTGACCGTGGGGCCAGGCCCTCTGTCCACTACAGTCATCCCTGGAACTACTCTGGTCCTGCCCATACCCATGCCAGGTACTGCCCTCTCCATGGTCCCAACTCTGCTCTGTGCAGGGCCTCGGGGCCCATGTAGAGGCCTGTTCTCAGCTCCCATGTCCTGAAGGTGCTGACTAGCTCAAATGGACCAGCTTCAGGGGTCAAGGCAGCCAAAATCTCATTCGGGTGCCAGGCCTGGGTGTATCCAGGCTTACCAGTGCTCCCAACATACATGCAGTCCCCTCATCTAGCCCTAAGCTACAGATCACATAGCTTTCTGCCCTGCCACTGGCCAGATGGAAAACTCTGAACATCACAAAGAGATGTGATTGTGATCTCGCTTTGAAGCAACCTATCCTACCAGCCTGGGCGCAATGCCCACGCCACAGGGCCAGTCTAGCTTCCACATCCCCCTCATCGTGACAGGCAGCCCTGTGTATACCAGTAGGGAATAGGGGAGGAACAGTGTGTTCATGCAGTACTTGCTTCCTTTCTGCTAGATACAGTCTTCAGTCCCATTCTTGAGACATTCCTAAGTCCCAGTGGTGTGCACTTATGATACTTACTCTAGTTGACCAAATCGATTATCAGGACATTGTCATGATCTTGCAAAATATGGTGCTTTGGAGTTAAGTGTTCCCATTCCCTAATGGAAAGAGATGTTTAAAAGAAGTATATATATTTCATCAATGGCTCTTGAGTTAACAGCCTTATCTCATGTTTTAAGCTGCAGAGATAGGAATTGTTAACAAATTGGAAGCTAAATCAGACTTTTAGTTTTCTGTTGTAAGTGCCCCCCCCCCCACTTTTTATAAGGGATAAAATGGAATTGGTTATCTTTAGTATCGAAGAGTTGCAAATATTCAGCGAGTGCTGCTCAATACTCAGAAAAGTAGGTCTCTCTGGATTTAGCCAATGATTAAGGGAAGCCAGATGGAAGCACATTCTTAACTGGAGTATTCTGCTTGCTTTGCTTGGGCTGCCGTATGGCCATGATTTCTCAAGGAGGACATTTTTAGCAGTGGCTGGCCTCTTAGAGAGGCTACAAAGAACCTGCTAGAAAATGCTAAGTGAACAAACAAACTCTACATAACCCAAAAGCTGAGAGGCTGCCCTGGGCTTCGTCTCCTGTCGGGTGAGGGTGGGTCAGTGTGTGTGAGGCAACCCTCCTGCTGACTCTCCTTTCTTTTCAACGATTTGCACCGAGGCCCATGATCTCAGGAGCAGCACGCCCTTGGCCGCTGGCCTGCAGGTGGCCCTGTGGGCAGTCCTCCAGATTGACTTGCTGAGGGCCAGGCGTCTCTTCTGAAGACTTCACTGGCACTCATCCCAGATAGGCATAAAAATGGCCCACTGTGGGGCCTGGAGGTACAGTCTCCTCTGCTGGCAAAGATGCTAGAGAGCAGACTGCCTCCTAATGCCGAGATGTGGATGGTATACTCCTTTTGTACTTGGGAGCATTACTAGAACTGATTAAATCATTTTGGTTTGAGTGTATTGTTCCATTAATTCAGTTAGAATTGAATTTTCTAGGTGGTTGTGCAGAACCTTCTGCCTGGACCCAATGCTGCTGTTAAGCTATTTATATTCTCTGTATCGTGCACCCACGTCTGTTTGGATTCGGAGTCATGTCTCTCTTTCATGAGTCAAATTGCTAGCTACTCTCACAGTCTCTCCTCCATCTCGCACCGAACCTAAGGTTTGCAGTCTCTCTCACCCATTAGTCCTTGCCTTGCACATGGGCAGCTGTAGCTTGAAATTACCAAGAGACTGTGTATATTAAGGAGAAAAATAAACTTTTGCTTGAAAACAGTGTGGAAAAAGTTGTTTTCTTCCTCCTCTCACAGAAGAGCAGGCCATTTGGGGGCCTCTTAGGAAGGGTCAGAGCAGTGAGCAGAACTGCACTGGCCCTCCCTCAGGGGCCAGGGCAGCCATCCCAGCTTTGTGTCCACAGGTGTGCTGCCATCTCCACCACCACCACCACCCACCTTGAGGGGCAGGAAGCTGAATAGAAGCCTGGGGTGAGGCCAAGGGATGGCAGAGGAGCCCTACTGACAGGGCTGTATTTCCCATAGCCCGGTGCTGCCAGCCTTAATTGCCAAAGCCCCAACTCTGCTGGTGGGTAAGGATGTAGCCCAGCAGTGACCTGTGCCCACCCTGAAGCTCCCAGACTTGGCCAGCTTGGAGGTCCAGCTCTGCTGCCTCCCACCCAAGTCCCCGCCCTGAGCCTGACCGCAAGACAGTGAGGAGCCTCTAAACATGTATTACGTTTTCCAAAGGAGTGGGCCAATGAAAGGCACCTGTCACCCCTGGGAAG